TCCTTTCCTTCTCACTACATCTTAAGTCAAAGCCACTACCAAGTTTTGCCAATTTTATCTCCTCAATACTTCCTAAATACTAAATTCCCTTATCCCCACCTCTATCCCCACACTCATCATCTAAGCAACTATCATCCTTCATCTGGACCACTGAAAAGCTCTCCATTTGTACCCCCGACCTTTCTTAACCTCCCTCCCACTATGCAACAGCCAGAGTGTTTTGAAGCACACATCCTGTCAGTAGGACCCCATTGCTCTCAGGATAAGGACCAAAGCTCTTCACATGGCTCACAGCCCATGCATGGTCTTGCCCCATGCTCCCCCACCCATTTGGCTCCAGCTATTGCAGTCTTCTTCTGGTTCCATGTGCTTTACCAAAAGGCATTTGCACATGCTGCTCCCTGTGTCTAGAATTTTATTCCTTTCCACCTTTGGTCTAGTTAGCTCCTAGTCATCCTTAAGCCCCAAGCACAATCACTTTTTCCTTAGGAAATCCTTCCATTAACCAACAGGCAAAAGAGGGTTCCACCATCAAATACTTTTATAGCTCCATGCCTCTCTCCTTACTAATACTTAGCATGGTTATAATTGCATCCATCTGTGCAACGACCTGATGGAGTCTGCCTCCCCAACTAAATGGCAGGATCTATGAGCATTGGCTGTATGTTTTTCCTCACCATTGTAACCGTAACACTTAATCAGTGTCTGGCAAGAAGAAAGTGTTCAATAAATATTTGGTGAATGAATGAATGGAAATCCCTTTGACAACATATTTTGAGAGCTATAGAAATTACAGCTATAGTTATGTTTTGATTCAGTAATACAGCTCCTAGAAATTTATCCCGAGGAAGTAATCCAAAAGAAAGAAAATATTGTATATATTTATATATATATGAAAATATTAAGTACAAACTTTTTCTAATGGCAACATTTTTAAAAACACATGGATATCTAGCAATAGGAGAAATGTTGAAGTGTGGTAAATCCACAGAATAAATAACATGGTCATTAAAAATAATTGTGAAGACTAAGTAGCAATGTGAAAAACAGATTACAATATTACAATTGTTTTTCAAAAGCTGAATGCAAAATTGGATTTCTACAACTACGTAAAAATGTTTTATGCATGTAGACAAGTACCAGATGGGAACGAGGAAAAATAAATGAGTTGATTTGTCCAAAGAATACATTATGGTGGAATTTTCCATTTCATTTTGATTTCTCTTTGTGTAGTTATAATATTGTTTTTATATAAATGACACCTTAGTGTAATCTATACATTTTATCTAGCAATAGGTTGAATAAAACAGCAATGTTAAACTAAGAAGCCATCAAAACATAGCTAGTTACAATTGATTCACTGCTCAGCCGAGTTACAAATGCCTAATAAATAATGTTATTTGAGAACAACATTATTAACCACTTTTAAAATAGATCTCATAACCATATATATACACACATACATATATATATATAAACCCTATGTTTATAATGTTTTATGAACATTCATGTACATGTCTTTGTGTGGACATATGTTTTTGTTTCCCTTGGGTAAATACCTAGGAATAGAATGGGTGAACTGTATAGTAGGTATATGTTTAACTTTTTAAATAACTATCAAACGGTTTTCCAAAGTGATTGTGCCATTTTACATCCCCAGCAGCAGTGCATGAATGCTAGTGGGATGTAAATGTTCCACATTCTTACCAACATGTGATATGATGGTTGGCCTTTTTAATTTTAGCCAGTCTAGTGGGTGTGGATTGTGGTTTGGATTTGTATTTTTCTAATGATTCATAATGTCAAAAATGTTTTATATTCTTATTTGATATCTGTATCTAATGTTTGGGGGAAGTATTCATTCAAATCTTTGGCCCATTTTTAAATTGAGTTATTTTTCTTTTGACTGTTGAGTTATAAGATATATTTATATATTCCAAATACAAGTTCTTTATTAGATGTATTTTGCGAATATTTTCTCCAGTCTGTAGCTTGCCTTTTCACTTTCTTAACATAACATGATCTTTTGGAGAGAAAATTTCAAAATATTTATGAAGCATAATTCAGCAACTCTTACTTTTATAGCCTGTGCTTAGCCCAAGATCACTAGATTTTTTCCTTCTGTTTATAGGAACTTTATAGTTTTAGGTCTTACATTTGGGTTGGTGGCCCATTTAGAGTCAGGTTTTGTACTTGGTGTGAAGTAAGGGTCAAGGCTATATGGATATCCAATTGTTCCAACACTATTTAGTGGAAATATTAACCTTTCCTCATTGAACTGCCTTAACATCTTTGTCAAAAATCAATTAACCTGGGGAACGAATAATTTTTTCAACAAATGGTGCTGGAACAACTAGATATCCATGTGCCAAAGAATGAAGTTTAAACCCTACCTCATACCATATACAATAATAAACTCAAAATGGATCAGAAACCTCTAAGTACATGCTAAAACTATAAAACTCTTAGAAGACAACACAGCAGTAAATCATTACCTTGAGCTGGACCATAGTTTCTTAAATATAAAAATTAAAGCACAAGCAACAAAAGAAAAAGTAGATAAATTGAACCACATCAAAATTTAATTGTTTTGCAAATATTGATAATACATCAAAAAAAGTGAAAAGCAATAGCAAAGACATGGAATCAACCTAAAAGTTCCTCAATGGCAGATTGGTTAAAGGAAATGTGGTACATATACACTGTGAAATACTATGCAGCCATAAAAAAGAACAAGATCATGTCTTTTGCAGGAACATGGATAGAGATGAAGTCCATTCCCCTTAGCAAACTAACCTAGGAGCAGAAAACCAAATTCTGCATGTTCTCACTTATAAGTGGGAGCTAAATGATGAGAACACATAGACACAAAGAGGGGTACAGTGGACATTGGAGCCTATTTGAGGGTGGAGGGTGGGAGGAGGGAGAAGATCAGAAAAAAATAACTATTGGGTACCAGACCTAATACCCGGGTGGTGAAATAATCTGTACAACAAACCCCCATGACACGAATTTACCTATATAACAAACCTGCACAGGTACCCCGAACCTAAAATAAAAGTGTAAAATATTTTTTAAATAATCAAAATAATAATTTTTAAAAAGTGAAAAGACAATCCACAGAATGGGAGGAAACATTTGATCACATATCTGATAAGGAATTCATATCCAAAATACATTTTTTAAAAAAACCAGTCTCTTACAACCCAATAATAAACAGACAAATAGCCCAATTTAAAAATAGGCAAAGGTTTTGTAGATGTTTCTCCAAAGAAGGTTCTACAAATAGCCATGAATAACACGAAAAAGTGCTCAGCATCATTACTCATTAGGGAAATGCAAACCAAAGCCACAGTTAGGTACCAGGTACCACTCCACACCCAGTAAGATGACTACGATAAAAAAAAAAAGGATAATAACCAGTGTTGGTGAGGATGTGGAGAAAGTGGAACTCTCATCCATTGCCGGTGGGACTGTAAAATGGTGCAGCTGCTTTGGGAAACAGTTGGGTAGTTCTTTAAAAATTAAATATACAGTTACATATGACTCAGCAATCCTACTCCTGTCTACCTGAGAGAAATAAAAACATATGTCCACACAAAAATCTATACATGAATAGTCATAGATGTATTATTCATAATAGCCAAAAAGGAGAAACAACCCAAATGCCCACCAATGATGAATGAATAAACATAATGTGATATATTCATGCAATGGCACATTATTTATCAATCAAATGGAAGAAAATACGGATACACATACAACATGGTTGATCCTTAATACATTACGCTAAGTGAAAGAAGTCTACATACTATATGACTATATATTTTAAAATATCCATTTATATCAAAAATATTAGGCAGAATGGGCAAATATATGAGACAGAAAGTAGACTAGTGATTGCTTAGGGCTAAAGGTTGAGTGTTGGTGGAGGAAAATGAGGAATGACAGCTAATGAATATAGGTTTTGTTCTTAGGGTAGATGAAAATATTCTACAATTAGATTTGTTGATGATTGCACAGCACTGTGAATATATTAAAACCATTGAGTTGTGACTTTAAATGGGTGAATTACGTGATGTGAATTATGTATCAAAAAGAATGTTAAAAAACCAATTGATCATGTACATGTGGATCTATTTCTGGATTCTCTTCTGTGCCATTGAGTGATTGGTCTTTTTTTTTTTCCCCCATGCCAAACTGTATCCAGCTTTATTAAAGATATTTTCCATAAACAATCAGAGTATTTCAGGCAGGACATGGGCAGACAATTGTTAATAGCATATGACAACTTTCAAACTCCCTTCTTCAATGGACTACCAAAAATCAGAAAGCCACTGTAAAACCCAGGGAAGTCTTCACCTGATGATCTGAACGGGGAAAGTTTAGAGTGAGGTTGATATTTCACATTTAGCAAGTTGTTTAACAACTTTTCACAAGTTGACCCTGACCTTCAGGAAATGAAATAAAAATGGCAGAATTTATCTGAAGATTCACAATCTAGAAATGGAACCACTACTTTTTCGAGGGGTTCCATCTCAGTGGCATCACTGGAAAGTCCAGATTGCCTGACACACCAGTAGCCAATTATTGAAGGTCAGGTCCCAACAGGTGTCTGGGCTTAAGGGAGTTAAGTCTATGCTGAAAGGTGGAAAGGGAGAAGAGGACATAAAAACGAATTTGTTTTTCCGTCCCATGAGGCTTTTGCGCCAAGGGGCCTTGGGTGTGAAAGTCAGGGAATCCCCCCTCCTGGGAGCCAAGAGCAAGTCTCCCAAAACTAGAAGGGAAAGGGGTTTTCCGCACGTCAATCCAGCTTCGGAGACGTTCTGTTAGTGATATATGCCCTTCCCCAAAAAACACAATGAAGTGTTCTGTGTGCTAACAACATAGCTTAAAGAAAAGGCAAAACAAATTCTACATTTTTATAAAACTTGATAAAAAAATAGCATTTCAGACTGTACAGTCACCAGAAGTACACAGTTATCAAAAATGCACACGCTTCACTTGGCATCTGCAGCACCTTCAGCTTTCTGTGTCTGATCTGTTTGGGCATCTCCATTTTCTGCGGCGTTACTCCCCTCCTTGCCAGCCTCAGCTTTTCCCTTTTCCCTTTTGGGTACCTTCTCTCCCTTCTTTGCGGGGGCCTTTTTAGGTTTGGGCTCCGGCTTTGGAGGAGCAGGTTTAGTAGACAACCTCGTGGATCCTCTCTGTGGTTCGTCCTTCACCTTGGCTCTATCTCCTTTAGCATCACCTTCAGCCTTTCTCTAGGGCACGGTGGTGGCGGCAACGGCGGCGGGACGTAGGCGCTGGACGCCTGATGCAGCAGCGCGGGGGCTTTGGTTGGTCTGGGGATCGTTCTTGCTTCTTCTTCACGCTGCTCCGATTTGTCTATCTTGACACAGATACCACGCTATCTTGATCATTGGAGCTTTATAGATTTGGAAATTCGTGCAATTTCAACAACTTTCTTCTTTTACAAAATTGTTTGGGCTGTCATATGTCACTGTTAGAATCAGTTTGTTATTTTTACAAAAAACAGCATGCTGGGTTTTTTATTGGGATAGTACTGAGTCTGTAGATCAATTTTAACAGAATTAACACCTGAATATTACTGAGTCATCTGATCCATGGAGATACATATCTCGTCACTTATTTAGGTCATCTTTGATTTCTCTCAGCAATATTTTCAGTGCATGGGTCTTACACATCGTTTGCCACATTTGTCCCTAGGTATTTCATATTTGTGATGACCCACAAAGTTTTAAAAGAAATATATTGGCAGAAATACTGCTAGATTAGACCGAAAGGGACAGAGACAGTACAAAATGAACAGAGGTTCTTTGAACCCCTCAAATTCTACTGGCAGGGAGCAGACTGAGAAAGCTGCTCAGTTGCGAACATGTGTAACGTTTTATTTAAAACTATTTTGGGTTTTTTAAAATTTCAATTTCCAATTCTTTGTTGGTGTATAAGAATACAATTTCCAATTTCAGTTTCCAGTTCTTTGCTGGTGTATAAGAATACAATTGATCATCCAAAAAAATAGATCTCTATGTATCCTATTCATTTTTTTTTTTTTTTTTTTTTTTTTTTTTTTTGAGAGGGAGTCTCACTCTGTTGCTCAGGCTGGAGTGCAGTGGCGTGATCTTGGCTCACTGCAATCTCCGCCTCTTGGGTTCAAGTGATTCTCCTGCCTCAAGCTCCCAAGTAACTGAGATTACGGGCACCCGCTGCCACACCTGGCTAATTTTTGTATTTTAGTAGAGACTGGGTTTCACAACATGTTCATCAGGCTGGATTACAGGTGTGACCACCACGCCTGGCCTGTATCCTGTACATTTCTTAAATTCACTTATCAGTTCTACTGGCTTTTCTGTAGACTCCTTATAATTTTCTACCTAGATAATTGTGTCATCTGCAAATTAAGGGTGTTTTATTTCTTCCTTTCTAATTTGAATGCATTTTCTTTTTTGCTTTATTGCACTGGCTAGAACTCCCACTAGAATGTTGGGTTAAAGTTGTGAGAGTACACATCACTGTCTTATTCTAGGTGTCAGGTGAAAGCATTCAGCGTCTTACTGTTGTGGTAGACAACCTCCAAGATGGTACTGATGATCTTCATCTGCTGGTGTTCATATCCTTGTTAGTCCCTGTGTGTCTGCATTGGTTTGTATGACCAACAGAATAAAGAAGAAGCGATCGTGTGTGAATGCAGAGACTAGATCAGAAAAGGCATTGTTACTTCCCTCTCTTTAGAATAGTTTGTTTGGAGGGAAGCCAGCTGTTATGCCAAGCAGCCCTCTGGAGTCTCTCGTGACAAGGAACTGTGGTCTCCTGACAATAGTCAGTGAGGAACTGAGCCTCTGGCCAACAGCCACATGAAAGATACCATATTAGAGGCGAATCCTCCATCCCCAGTCAAATCATAACTGCAGTCCTGGCCGGCAACTTGGCTACAACCTATGGAAGGCCCTAAGCCAGAACCATCCAGGTTCCTGGCCCTCAGAAACTGCAAGGAGGTAAAAAAAAAAAAAAAAAAAAAAAAAGTGTAAGCTGTTAAGTTTTGGGTAATTCTTTATAAAGTAATAGATAACTAATAAAGACTTCGGTATTTAGAAGTGAGAGGCTGCCATAATGAAAACTTAAAATTTAGGAATGGTTTTGGAACTGAGCAATTGGTAGGAGCTGGAACGACAATGAAGAGACTGCTGGTGAGGACTTAACAGTAAATGAAGAGTGTGTGTGTTATTGGAAACTGGAGGAAGGAAGTTTCTTATTATGTAGTTACTATGTAATTCTCATTATGTATTCTTATTATGTAGTTAGCAACACTGTCAGCTGTGGTTATGGGGAAACTAGAAAATGTCACCAGTCAACTAGGTAATTGGGCTAAGGACTGTTAGCCAACACTGTTGAGGGTACTGCCTCATAGCTTGCTGCTTATCGTAAAATGCCAGAGGAAAGACTGTTTGGTTTTTTGTTTGTTTGTTTGTTTGTTTTTAAAAAGGAGTTGGGCACAGTGGCTCACACTTGTAATCCCAGCGTTTTGGGAGGCTGAGGTGAGCAGATCACTAGAGCCCAGGAGTTTGAGACCAGCCTGGCAAAACCTCATCTCTACAAAAAATACAAAATTTAGCTACATGTGGTGGTGCACGCCTGTAGTCCCAACTACTCGGAAGGTTTAGGTGGGAGGATCGCTTGAGCCCAGGAGATCGAGGTTGCAGTGAGCTATGTTCACGCAACTGCACTCCAGCCTGAGTGACAGAGCAAGACCTTGTCTCAAAAAAAAAAAAAAAAAAGAGAGACAGGACTTACTATTTACGAAGATTCCCACCTCTCTAGATAGCAAACAATGCTAAAATTAAGAAATAGCCTCTGGGTAAATATTAAACTCAGGGGCCTCTCAGGAAATTGTGTTCTTAGGATGAAGCTGAGGGAGGAGGGTGACTGTGAAGTCGTTTGTTAAATTCTAAGAAAGATTCAAAAGGCAGTGTTTCACAGTACCGTTCAGTTACACTGCAATTCTGAAGATTTCACGGCATGACTCACTAGAAATGAATCGCTAAGTGGGACAAGATTCCAGAGCCAAATAACTAGATGAGCAAGAGGACAGCAAGAGGGATGTCTGGAACAGGTAATCATTTCCAGGAATTGCCAAGAGAGTAGAGGTTGTGTCCACGAACATGGCTCAGGTTCTAATCCCAGTTCTGCTGCTTATCGGCTATGTGACCTTGGGCAAGACACTTTATTCCTTGGTTTCCTTAGCAGTAAAATGTGTATTAAAGTACTTACTTTTGGGAGTTGTCAGTGAAGGTTAAATAGTTTAATATACGTAAGCACTCAGAACAATGCCTGACATCTAGGTTATGGTAAACAAGTAATAGTTGTCATCATTACTTAGGAAGGTGAAGTGAAAAAACCTACATTTCTCATAGCGAAGCTAGATGTGGCCCAACTGTTAGAATTTGAGCAACAAAAGGAATTATGGTCTCATGTGTTGTCACAGGCTATGGAGGTTCTCAGAAGCCATCAAAATAGAGCAGTCAACCAAGGGACAAATGTGAGACCAGGTCCCAGAGGTTTAATTTGCATCTGGCAGTTGAGTGACACAAAGAGCTGAGAAGTGAAAAGGAGAAATTGCTAGGGTCTGAGAACACTTAGAGTCAACTAGAGCTGGAAGCGGTTTTTTCTTTTTCTTTTGTTTGTTTGTTTGTTTTGGAGATGGAGTCTCACTCTGTCACCCAGGCTGGAGTGCAGTGGTGTGATCTCAGCTCACTGCAACATCTGCCTCCTGGGTTCAAGTGATTCTCCTGCCTCAGCCTCCTGAGTAGCTGGGATTACAGGCATGCGCCACTATGCCTGACTAATTTTTGTATTTTTAGTAAAGACGGGGGTTTCATCATGTTGACCAGGCTGACCTCGAACTCCTGACCTCAGGTGATTCACCCACCTCAGCCTCCTAAAGTGCTGGGATTACAGGCTTGAGCCACCGTGCCCGGCCCGGAAGGGGTTTTTATATGACCATGTCCAATATGATCATTTCTGTCAGAGAAAGGAGCTTAGAGGGGAAGTGATTCCACTAGCTGTGGCATAGCTGGGCCTGGCGCTGAGGAGTCCATGGTCTCCTGGTGCCTGCAGCACTGGAGTGGGCATCAGCACCCGCGTTCCTCTGTGATAACCAGCCTGGGCAAGGTCTGCTCAAAAATGGCTGGTACTTACTGTCAGAGAAGAGCTGAGATAGTAACAAATGCTAATATAATTTTCTATACCTTTAGCTTGCATTTATCAAGCAATTACTATGTACTAAGTCACAATCGTATTAGAATAAACCATTTGGGGCCTATAAAAATGACAATTTCGCCAGGCGCCATAGCTCACGCCTGTAATCCCAGCACTTTGGGAGGCTGAGGCAGGTGGATCACCTGAGGTCGGGAGTTTCAGACCAGCCTGACCAACATGGAGAAACCCTGTCTCTACTGAAAATACAAAATTAGCTGGGCGTGGTGACACATGCCTGTAATCCCAACTACTCAGGAGGCTGAGACAGGAGAATCACTTGAATCCAGGAGGCGGAGGTTGCGGTGAGCCAAGATCGTGCCATTGCACTCCAGCCTGGGCAACAAGAGTGAAATTCCATCTTAAAAAAAAAAAAAAAAGGCCAGGTGCGGTGGCTCACACCTGTAATCCCAGCACTTTGGGAGGCCAAGGCAGGAGGATCACAAGGTCAGGAGTTTGAGATGAACCTGGCCAATATGGTGAAACCCCGTCTCTACTAAAAATACAAAAATTAGCCAGGTGTGGTGGCAGGCGCCTGTAGTCCTAGCTACTCAGGAGGCTGAGGCAGGAGAATCGCCTGAACCCAGGAGGTGGAGGTTGCAGTGAGCCGAGATGGCACCACTGCACTCTGGCCTGGGTGACAGAGCGAGACTCTATCTCAAAAAAAAAAAAAAAAAAAAAAAAAAACAGTTTCATATAGGTCAACATTTTACTTCATTTAATCATGATAAAACTCTATGTGGTATATACTATAATTATCTCCATTTTACAGATGGAGAGACTGAGGCACAGAGAGGTTAAGTGACTTACCCAAGGTCACATAGCTGGTAAGTGGTGGAGACATTTTATCAATCCAGGAGGTCTGACTGTACAGCCCATACTCGCAAACCCCTTCTTTATACACTGAGGTGGCTGTGCCCACAGTCTTAAGGGGCTGGCCCAGGCACCTGTCCCCTACCCCAGCCCTCAAAGCCTGGTAACCAGCTTTCCTCAGGAACTTAGATCAGCCCTGACCCTCCTGGAGCCTTGTCAGAAAGA